TTGTACTTGAACGCTTTACTGCGGATTTGTTCAGTATGTCTAAATTTGTAATTTAATTTTAATTATGACTAACAGTTTACGACTTGTTTAGTAATATTATCATCTGGTTATCAACTTTATTTTGTGAATTTATTTTTGCATCATTTTATAGAGTTTCAATGAAAATAAATACTCCTCGACATTCTGTTTATGCAGTGTCTACAGTGTTTACTGTATGACTTTGAGAGTCCTAGAATCCTCACTTGTTACTTTAAGTATATCTGAGAAATGTGATTACGACTGCCTAGCTGAAGTCAAGAGTATGCGATTGTCGATTCTTCTCATGGGAGCGCAGAGCATGATGGATGTGCTTATCATACGCACAAATTTAAGTGTAACATCATTCTATGGGCTGTAGTACAATTTTGAAGGCCCATCAGAAAAGCTGGATGATAAAACTCCTGAAAAGGTCGAACTGCGCTATACTGCAAAATGTTTTCCCATATACATATGGAGTTCCGAAGACAGAGTATCTTCTTCCTAGTTCTTTTGGTCGTCGTTAGGCAACATATAAACAGTTTAATTATGCACAACTCACAGTGGTCAGTCGGTTGAGTGACTATCCGCTACCGATGTTGAGGCTAATATATCACGTGCCTTCTTCAAGTTAGCCTGGAGGACAGATATCGTTGTTTAGTGTAAATTTCGTTGTTTGCAGCAGTTCGTTTGTGACGAATGATTTCTTCTAATTTCATAAAATTGGCAAATTCAACGCTATATCATTCAGGAGACTTCGTGTTACTTATCAAAAGCTTCGGTGCACATGTCAGGGTTAATATCAGTGAAAAACAGTTTCATCAGCTGTTCAGCACAGACGGGCGGAATAGAGCCATACTTTCTGGTTCTAAGTATAAGAGCCATTGTAGAAGACAAGAAGGGCTGACAATATTCATCCACCAATCTAAACTGAAGAAGGCCCGTGAGACATTAGCAGACGCAACGTTGGAACTGGTCACTCATCTGATTGACCAATTGTTTACGCTGTGCATAAACAAACCATGTTTTGTGCTGTTTTCAGAAGGAACCAAATATGCAGTCTTCTGAAAAGTAACTGTCGCTAAGCACTTATTATTATTGTGCGTTGGTAATCGTAACGAAAACATCAGGAACATTTCCATTAAATACAAGGCTAAAATCACTCTACCCAGTAAGGCACTATCGACTTTTCGACCGAATAGCGGATGACTTTACAACTGGAAAAGACGCAGCTTGTGCACAGAGCGACAATGCCGGATGACTATTTGCGTGAGATATGAAACAAGGCGTCAACCGCAATCTGCCATCTGACAGACTGTGTGTGCCTCGTTTCACAGCATCATCTGAATTCTATTTTTCATGCTATTTCAAACCAACATTTCATTTGGCAAAAGAAAACACCACTGTTCCTATCGCCATCCGCTGAGTGTCAGTGGGTAGTGAAAAGAACATTTTATTTTAAACTTAGTCAGCAGACCAAAGTTTGTAATAAGCTAGGTAAGGAAAACGATATCGACTTGAATATTATAGGAGGATTAATATTCCAAAGTAATCTGTCACATCAATATCAGACAATTATGGCGGCGACTGTACAGCGCATCCGGCGCAATTTCTGTAGTTATAGTATCACCGAAGTTTTTAATCACAGTCATGGTTAAAACGTATCGACGATTCATGCCCATAACTGGAAATGAGTACTAGTGCATTTCGATCGTTTATGAAAGGAAAGATCTTTGTTAACTACGCAACTGCCGAAGTTGATGCGTAGAAACAAGGCAGTGACATGTAATACGCTGAAATCTTGTCCTGAAGGAATTATGCTACGTTATACATGCTCTGGTATGAACATATTTTGATGTTTATCCGGTAGCATGCCAATAATACCAGCTTCTATACATAGGTCGTAATGACTCGAGGTGGTTCTAACTAGCGAAATAACGCAAGATGCATCCATCTGACACCGCAGGTAGTCCAATACCATTGCGCGGTTGCGTACATAAATGTCCCCTCTGTGCAATTAGGATAAAGGATGCAATGCGCCAACAACTCTTGCACGAGTTGCAAAGCAATGACATGCTGAAAAGCAGCACCGTCTGATGAAAAGTGGTATCACGACAGTTGATACTACTCCCAGTAGAATAGAACTGGGAGTTGAAAAACTCCTAGTTAGTCAGTCAGACACTTTCAATGACCGCTTATCCTTCTAGATCGCTGAGGCTAAAGCGTCGCACGGTATTTCCAACGTTCCTGAGTCTGCGCCAGCACTTGAGCTCTTGTAAAAAGTAAACCGATTCAGCGGTAGAGTTCTTCAATGCACTTGCCCCAAGTTATTCTTGGGGTTTTTGGCCGGTCGACTGAATAAGTATTAGATGCTTCACCGTCATATCTGGATGCATTTGCAAAACGTGGGCCAACCAACGCAGCTGTGACTTCTCAATCCAGAGAAGATGCGGCTGTACACCAAAACTTTTTCGGATAACTGTACTCCGTAGAATGTCGAGACGCATGAACCCTGTGATTCGTTTCAAAAAAAGCTCATTTCAGCCGACTGTATCCAAGATGGAAGGTTTTCATTCATGAACCACGAATCATGACCTCACTTGAGTACCGGTATGAAGATCGGCTAGTGCTCAGGCTTAGTGCATCCCAGTTTGCCGCCGGATCTCTTCCATCGATCTTCGTCACCAATAAACACGACCCCAAGATACGCGAACTTCTCCACCTGCACCATTGCTGCTCCTTTCATCTGCAGAGCGTAACAGCAGGAAAATGAGAAAGCACTACGCCGTTAGTTTTAAACACGTTCCTGAACATGTCGCCCACGTCACTTGGCTGTGTGTCTCTCCAGAGGGCGTTGGAGATCAGTTTAAAAAGACGCCAATACAACAGGGTCTATAAACAGCCACCGACTCGTTTCTACGTCTACGCTGATACACTCGCCATTCCGGCTGCACCTGACTTTATTGCCGAGTACCTCGTCGTAGCCACTGGCCATCGATTCCATATGCTTGCAAGCCCGGCCATAGATTGCTACACGGGATCCGGTAATGAGCTCTCTCTAGCTCCACAAATCAGGTACAAATCGGATGAGCGAACTCCCACGACATCTCAACAATCTGGCACAGGGCGAATATTTGGTCAGAGGTGCTTCGGCCCTACCTGAAGCAGGCCAATCACTTCTTGTAATGGAGCACTATGTGTGGTCGCCCTTCTTGAACAGGGGTACTACAACCCCGGTTCTCAAATCCACCGGTATTTTTCTCATAGTTACTGCCGCTTGACAGACCAAAATATGCCTTGTTCACTTAAAACTTTAAACATTTCAGAATGGATTTCTTAATTCCAGGAGCGTTATCACTTTTTACGCCTTTTACACATTCCATGACTTCTCCTACTGCTGCTCTTTGGACGAGTCTAACTGCGCTTGCTCGGAAATTTAGTAGAACTTAAAAGTAACCGCTAATGTAATTGAATAATGTGCAAATTATTTTAAACTTGTTCGAGTTCACTTTCAGTGCAATAGTTGAAGATTGCAGCAACATTCTCAGCCAAGACGTTATTGGAAAGAAACACATGAAAATAAACGATGCAGAAAGTCGATTTGACGTTGTAATATGTAGTGGGCATGTCGGAAATAAATTGGTCTTTCAATGACACCGACTTATTATGCTTCGGTTGGATTCGTATGCCCGTGGTCTTTAAGGAATCACGCGTCATTTCATGCAGATTATTGCCATAGTTGCGTCGGCAAAAGTGCTTTACACATCTGCTGTAAAGTACACTTCATGTGTACTATAAATACAGCAGAAAATAACTGGATATGAGGCAAATTGAATGATATATCTTGTGGATGAGATAAACTTTTATCATCACTAAGCTCAGAAGGATAAATTCTGGATCGGGAGAATATTGTGAAACCGAAGCAACAGCCCATGTCTCAACAGCATAAAATCTAATTGATATGTAGTACCACTAGAAGTTATAAGCTAGCAAATCTGGGTTACAAATACGTTAAAACGCAAATTAGAACATAAAAAAAAATTAGCTGCTCTAGAAAGGTCACCGAAATTCCTATTTCCACTTACTTCAATATAACGAATGCGAACTAAACCATTAAGTGTAGGATATGGCATCAAGTCGTTATGAAACACATTAAGCGAAAAAGCTCCAAATCGATCAAGAACGCGCCTCACTGTACGCGTCGTGCAGAACGTAAACCTTACTGAAAATAACCAGCTGGTGCATTATACGATTTTCACTATCACTACTAATTAATACTCAAAAGAGATGCATACTTTTAAGGAATAATCACAATATAAATCAATAATGAAAATTCTGAAAGCGGCGTCAAAATCTTGTTCTGGAGAAAAAGTTTTCCTTACTACAGCTTTTCAATTCAATAGGGCAGTTCTATGGCAAATAACCAGTCTAATTTACAAAGAGGGCTAACGAAAAATGAAATCACACTCTTCGGTTATTATTCTGGACAGTTAATCAGCTGTAGTGCAGAACGATATAATATTTTAAATAGAACAATTGCAATAATTAGTTAAAAAACATCTTATCTTCTGGTTAAAGTTCAGCGTTATTTCTTAAAAATAGCAGAAATGAGCAGCCGAAAAAATTGACATCCTTAAAAGATACTACCGAACCACGTTTCGAACAAACGTGATAATGGTCGCTGAAAAACTGGTTTACTGACGCAGCATCGCCAGCAACCCGATAGCATATTTCAAACGTGTAGCAAAGCCACACTACGAAGCAGATGAGTTCGACCATATGAAAGTCACTTACGTTTTCTAATTTAGCTTTCGTTGGACTGTAAGAAGCACGTCTCCCAAATGTCGTATCCCGTTCGCCGGGTAACGGCATAACGTCGCTGAAGATAACTACCTCGCTCGGCGCTGAGGCGACTAATTGCACGGCGTTCAGCACCCAGTTCGAGTCACGTATACGTCTCGGCAGGTGCCTCAATTACCTATGTTAATGCCGTCCGATTTGCATGTTATGAATCAGACATGTTAACGCTCACGGTAGGGTCCTGCGAATTATGCGCGCGAGTAATCACCTTTATCTTCCCATCGCGATGATCGAGGGTCAGCACATTGCCTTCGGTACAGAGCGAAGTCGAATCAAAGATTACGTCTTTCTTTCGGCGAATCACGTCGTGTAAGTTATTGCATGAACTCACTCACCACAGTCGTGTGAGTTCCGAATTAAGCAAACGACCAAAAACTTCACAATCTCTTTGAATGAACAAACATTTTCACTGGTTAAGCAAGTTTGAAACATATAAAATGAGAAATGACGGCGGCTTAAGAGATAAAAGATTAAATGCTTTGCGAAGTTTGCCAACGAGATCAGCAACATCTCCAGCGTACGCAAAGCAGCTAATTTCTTTGGCAAGCTATAGGATAATTGCTAGCCTCTCCCACTGTAGCGCAGATGTGGTGGTAACGGTATAAGACGCTGTGGCAACGTGCCATACCAAATGCTCTTCTTAGTGTTGACCATTTGCTCACTTATTTTATCACATATTCTGAGGAAGTCTCGAAGACAAATGTGTGGCCATCAGGGAACGCGGTATATTGCAAAGCTAGACTTGACATAACCGACGTCGAGATGTTTGCTTTCGTAGAAACCTATGTCGGTCAATCATTACTCACCCTTAGAATCTAAGAGGACAGTTATCAACAAAGGAGTTCAGTGAGTCGAGAAAGGCGCACGTGATGGCGTAAACCGTGGCATAATGTAAATTAAAAATTTGAGCAAATTTTTCGAGTTGGATAATAACGTAATTTCAATCATGAAGTTTATTTTTGCATATGTCAGTTTTGTACACTGCTCTATAGACTAATGTCTTCTCAGAACCGCTGCAAAATTAAATCCCCATATCTACGAAAGCCGGTTAGAAATTGAATTGTCCGGTGCTGGATAAACGCACCCTTTGGCATTCATTATGTATTGGAAGATTATTATCAAAGTCATTATCGGCCTTATTCGATTCAGTGCTGAATGAAGGCCTCCAAAATTTTGTCACAGACTTCTGTTTTCCGCGATTCTTGTCCACCTAGATCTGATCATCTTCTTCAGCTCAGCCTGTTATCGATCTAGAAGTCTCACTACGGGCGGTATATTCTGTCGTTTCACTAAGTCTAATGTTTCTCAGGTCCAGCGAAAGTCGGTTTTTCTTGCAATATGGCCTTACTATTGTCATTTCAAGTTCTTCGCTATAACAATGATGCCGCAGACTCTTGCCTACTCCATTCATTCATCTTCCACTCACTTCTTGTTGTTTGCAACATACTCCCTTTCATGCTGCGTTGCGTAGTTTACAGCCTATAAATAGATCTCAAGCTTAGGGCCCACGTTTAGCATCCATAGATTAACGGTGAAAGCACACACTGGTCGAAAGCTTTACGTTTCAAGCACATGGGCGGTTTCTCGAATAAAAATATTTTCAACTTTCCAAAAGTGCTCCATGCCAATATTGCTATTAGAATCAAAGTTAGGAAAATCGCTTCAACCTCGAGGTTTATGCAAGCCGATCAAATATTAACCTTGAGACAGGAGTATCTCTTTTCACAAAAATCTAACTGTGCCTTGCCTCTGTTACGTCAGTCTTGTCATACCGCATGAAGACAGTTGTTTAAACGGAAGAGCAAGAACGACAGTTGAACTGTGTACAACAGTGTTGGCCTCGACGCATAATGGAGGGGGCGGAGGGTAACTGACAGGATCACATAAAGAATGCATTTTTTTGGTTACGGCCACAGGTGACCACAGAAGACACGAAGACTAACAAAAACCGTAGGTCCTATTAGACTAACTACTTCAGCATAAATCATGTAGTTCACTCCATGAGCTTCTTGTGTGGGAGCGGAAACATGACAGAGGTAGAGAAGACCTTTCAGCCTGAGGAAAAGGGTATGTCCCTCTACAGTGAAGTAACTGCTACCGCATAAAACTGCGAATACAACGGACATCACAAACTAGAGACGTTCCACTTATGTAAACGGCTCAAGGTAATGACTTGAACACAACAGAAACGCGTCATATATCACGAGGTAATGTTTGGCAATTGTTTAGTTAACAGCAAATTTTGCGTTTAAAGATTTTAAGAAAAACCTTAGCGCACTGAGCTCAAAAATTTGTCTTGCCTTCAAACGCCCTAATGTTACCCATTACATTTGTGGCATCAAGTGCGTTTCAAAACATAAAAAGTGGATTGAAAATTTCTTAAAATCAACTGATTTAATGAAATCCATGAAACAGCAACTTTTACAAGTTTTGGAAAAGCTGGAAAGCAAGCTCAGAAAAAGTTGAACCGTTTAATTATAGCAAACAATGGGGCCAAATAAGGTATAATGAATGAAGGTGAATATCATGATAAGATATAAGATCAATTTTAAATTCAGATGTCCGGTCAAAAATAAGGAACAGTTCTAACCCTAATTCCAATGCCAGGAACAACATCAAACTGATTACGGATAGAATAGTCATGGAAGAACAGCTGCACAGAATAGCAATCAGGAGTCAACTATCTTCGGCTAATTCGTAGATTACACTCAAACTACATGGAGGGCTTGTAACTTGCACAACGATGAGAATCCAATAACTATCATCGCCACCTGTTAAACCATATTCGTCGAACTCAATGCGCAACTGGATCAACATTCTTCATTAGTAATAAACTACTAGGTAAATTAATAACGGCACCTGAAGTTGCTACTGGAAGATACAAGAGTGAAAATGAGCCAAACTCTAACTTATCTATTTCTGATATAATTCAGATACTCGATATAATCATTCGTTATGTCTAACTGAACTTGATCACAATATATATCACAGGGAATATCAAGCTCCAATGAGACTTCCCGTTAGTGTCTCCCGTGGTGAGATTTTAATGAATTCTCCCGAAAGTTTTTGTACGTCATATGATGGAGCACTTGACTAATTCGTTGATAATCATATTGAAAATAACATAAAACGAAATTTATTTCAGTCAATCAAGCGACTGATCGGTATGGACGTTTCGGTTCACGCTACATGGGCATTCTTCCAGCTCAGTATGTTGGGTTCTCGGTTTTCAACTTTGACCAGCTGCAGACGACTGAAACGACCTCAGCCTTACTGTAATGCGCGGAAAAGGACACTCTTTCCTTGTCTTATGGACTTTTTTGGTTGCAAAAAATTTTTATTAGCGAGCAGATAACGGTAATCAAATTCGATCTTCAGCACAGCATTGACGTCACAAATTACATGACTACGAACAACAAGGACCAGGCGAAAATGGTTTATCTCTAATCACACCTGCATAAACGCCATCCATTATCTCTTCGTCCACTTATTCACTTTTCGTTTCAGTTGACTTGCCAAATAAGACCTTTCGTCTTTGACCGAACATGTAGCAGTAAAGCTTCGGGAAAACTAAATGAAAGAACGGCTAAATTGCTTTTGCAAAACACCTGTTTGCCAAAATTACATGGTAAATAAAAGAACATGAAGACAATCAGCGCAAGATGGAAGTCAAACGATAGGTTAGCGCTGTTAGGCAAGTCCACACAGTAGATCTTACGCTGTTTAACGGCTGGAAGAGCAGCTGCGATGGACAGCAGTTCACCAACAACGCCAATCGGATAGAGAGCAATGAAAAGAGTATATCTAAACAAAATGTATAAGCAAAACATCACGCAGAGTCACATGTTCGAGATTAAGCATGTCCTGCGATCCAGACCTAAGCAATAGCTAAATATCAAAATAAAAATGGCCACTTACCAAGTCATATTTATGACGCTTGCATTACATAGAAATTTAGCTAATGAGTATCGTTAGACGGCTACAGATAGGCGACTGTGTGCATCTTCAGGCATGATGGAACATTACGTAAGACGTCGGTTTAGAACTCCGGAGGTGCCGGTTCGATTCCAACGGAAGAACAGTCAGTCTAAACCGCGAATTTCTTTGAACAATTTTACCTAGTGTTACTTCAGGCCGAGGTTGCTCAGTCGGTAGATTGTCAGATTCAGAATCGAGAGATCCCGGGTTCGAGCCGCTCCCAGGTCAATCGCATTTCTTCCTTCCGAGGTTGATAAATCAATAACACTATATGGAAAGAAAGCAAGAGACTTATAGATTATGCTATCTATTCTGTTTGCCCTGGCTGATAACAAGCACATTGAAATCAACGCCCACCATTAACTTCGTGAAAAGAAAAGCGCCAGAAACGGGCCCACCATGAAACTGTAAGGAATACCCGACATTCCAACGATTAAAAGCTTTTCCTTTTATTCTTTCCGTGCATGTGGCGGAAGGTAGCCAATGACCAAAATGCGCAACTACATATAAGCACGAGCGAACATACGGTAAAATTCATTGCCATTTGTTACGAAGGCAGCAGCGAAGGTGTGTCACGAACCCATAAACTAGGCGTAACAAGGAAGTGACAGTGCAGGACTGACAAAATCCTTCATGTTTCATAAAGCAAATCTGCTTCAGAGGCGGACACACCTGTTATAAACCTACACACTGAAGGACCAGACTGAATTGACATCACCTATCCTCACATGTCCAATGCACAGGAGACGATGTTGACCAGATCTACTCATGCACACATGTTCAAAATGCAGACTGCCTGTAACCGTCATACATACAGTTCATAAATAAAAACTGATCTGCTTTCAAATACAGACAGAATGAAACAATTGACTCCTCTGATAACGTCGCCCCTAATATCATCATTTTGCACGTACACGGTGAACTGCTTTGGGCACTACCTTCAAGCAATACTGCAAATCATTGGTATTTACGCAGTCGTTTACTGAATAATGCACAAAGCTTTATAAAGCATAAAAGAAAAAATATACGTCGCAGCTACGAGACTGCCGCTGCCCCTTCACACTCGGCCATTCCCTTAATTATATTTGTTTACTTGTCGTCGACGTTTACTATCATTGTCCACAATTCTTTAGTACTATCAACTGATTCACTGCCACTGTTTACCTTCTCATCGTCAGTGCAAAACGAGATTCCCGTCGAACAGATAATAGACCGGTGAAGAAAATCAGAAACAAGGCTAAATTTGCCTCACAAATCGATATTATGGGAAAAAACCGAGAGACAAGCGTGCAGAAAATACTGCACCTCGGTGAATCGTCTGTAAACCAACATGAGAACAGTCAAGAGAAATTAGGCAAAATTTGCCGTAGTGTACAGTACAGAACGCAACGGACCCCAACAAAATGAGACGTGTGGCAGGAAACACATACAACGTAATAAATCATTTAATATTATCATCATGCAAATAAAGCTCTCAATCTACATCCATTTATTCGCGATGATAAAAGTACTGAAAAATCGACAAAAATGTGGTACGACGAAGCTGATTCAATGAACATACATATTCAACTCATACAGCCTTTAAATGTCAGAAGGTAAGTGCTTGGGGTACAATAAACATGAATTTCCGAATATTTAAGGTAAACAATACAGCAAGGTAGGCATTTTACAAATAAACCTTAAATGTGGATCAGACAAAACTTATGCGGAAAAGACGCTGAGACGATCATTTATATCAGAAAAAAAGAAGCCATCATGGTTCAAGCTATAAAATGACAGGATTATGTTGTGGCTGGGTGACATTTCGGCACAAGATTACAAAATGAGATTCTCTGCAAGGTACAGCTATCTCAGTCCAAATATTCTAGGGGTAATTCAAAGATTCATTTCCCAGTTTCCTGCAGACCAACAACAACGGGTGAATTCTGTGAATTCTAATAATGGAGTGGTTCAATGCAGTGATTATGTCAGAGTAAAGAAATAATAGTATGAAATTAAATCCTACTGTTTGTCGGCAACGCACACAGCCACCTTTCGAATATCGAACATGCTGTTTGTGAAGATTAGTTCCAGGTAGCATTCATATCACTGACTACAACGTCAGTTTTCCTGCCTATGAACCAGATGCTATTAAAGCATTCAGGTCTTATTACACGCACCAGCTGGTTGCAGAACGCCATTCCTTCCGTTTTTCGCCTGACAGCAACACAGGCTGATAGCAGTGGCAAAAGCCAAGGCTGATTCCCGGGAAACATTCGTTGACGTGTTGGAGTCGAATTTCCACACGGCAAACAAAGTATTCTGGCAGACCATCCGCCGGCTCCGAGGTGAAAAGATGGTCAGTCTCAGAGTCTTGAAAGACAAATCCGGACACCCTTTTACCAAGGATGATGACATTCTTCGGCGATGGAGGGAATAGTTTGAGGAACTCCTTAACCACGCGCTACAGCAGGAAGACTCGCCTGTAGAGCAGAGGGGTACCAATATTACTATCTCTGTAGATGAAATTGCAGAAGCTGTGAAAAGCTTGAAAAATGGAAAAGCTGCTGGAATTGACGAAATCCGCCCTGAAATGCTCAAT